TTTTCTCTCTCTATTTATTTTTAATTTCAAGCAACATCATTCATGCATATTAATGAAGAAATAAAGACAAATAAGCCCTTCATTACGTTCTGGTCCATGATGTTTTACATATTTCTTTTAACAATAGGTAGAAGGGATATAGGAGAAGGCAAATTTTATAGAGAAGAATGTATGAGACCAATGAGCCAAACTTAAGAAAGCAAAATATAATCAAAGCAAAAATTCATCATAACATGATATTTATAGCAAAGGTCTATCGATCGACCTAGGTTTTGTAAATGTGATTAATATTTAATAAAATTAAAATGGTTGAATGTCCTTTATAAAATTAGTATTATTTTAAATATATAATTATTTTAACAATAATACTATGATGACTATATTTTTGTAACCATGTTTTGCTTAATAGCTCATGTGCTAATACTATATTGGTAAATATGAGTGGTGGAATCCATTAAACTAATACAATGTTGACAAATAATATGGTAAACCAATTGTGATAACAAAATATGATGTTTGTGTGATTAGATGATTTTTCAAAAATTGTTTTTAAATGAGTTTTAGTTTATTTTTAGTGATTTTTTTAAAAATATTTTAATCAATTCTTTGTACATTTTAGATGCATCTAATTAAGATGCATCTAAAAAGTAAAATAAATTGACTAAAATATTTTCTTTTTTAAAAAACTAAAAATGGAAGAAAATTCGAACAAAATCTTTTTACATTTTTGTTTGGATTTTTGTTTGTTTTTAGTGAATTTTTTTCATATTTAGTTAATTTTTTTTTACATTTTAGATGCATCTAATCTTGATGTATCTAAAAAAAAAAAAAAAAAAAAAAGACTAAAATATGAAAAAAGTTCAGTAAAGACAAACAAAAACCCGTTTAAAAGTAGTTTTTGAGAATTGTAACCAAACAAAGCTTTTAAATTCTAATTCTAGAGCTCTCATCTACAGCTAAATCCATTCTAGGGCCCCTTTTAGTCCGGTTGCATTAATTGAATCAATAATTAGAATAAGCACATAATTTTAGGATTTTATGAACATAGATATGAAATATACGTCGAATTCATTGCTTGTGGATTATAAATGCTTTTCGTTATTAAAAAAAACTAAATGTAGAGCTAATTTAACGCATGTTTTTAGGAGAATTTTCATTTATCGAGATATCTTCAGTTTGTAAATTGCTTTCAGTTTCCTTGCATGGACTTATGTTGCTGTTCACCGTGATTATCTGAATTTCTTTAAAAGCTTAAAATGTTACGTTTGCTATTCTGTTGCAATCATATGCATATTGCTCAATTTTTTCTGTGCTTCAGGTCATTGCA